TAAAAAAATTTTACAATCCAAATAATATGATCACATATAATTTCAATATAATCAATATCATATTCATAATAAAAATTTAATATACATGATATAACATAGATATATAATATTCTAACAATGATCTAAAACAAAAATCAGTTAATATAACATTATTTAAATTTATACTATTCTAAATTTACCTTTATCAAGATAATAAAAATAGTTATTGTAGTCTATTAAAAAATTATAATTAATATTATTAGTACATTTAAAATTCAATTCAAATATTATTATATATACAAAACTCGTCAAAACAATAATATGATTATTATATATTTCATAGAAAAAATTATCCATTTACACATATAAACTATTCTCATACCAAAAAAATATATGTATAATAAAATAAGTGTAGGAGGAGAATGTGAATAGACATCAAAAATAGCATTTTGATTAATAAATGAAAATGGTGTTTGTTTTTGATTTTGTTGAAAATTCGAAAGAAAGTTTGGATCATTCATATTTGATCAAATAATTTTACTTTAATTGACTATTTATATATTTTATTGTAATACAAAAAGACTAAAAAATCATACATTTTATATTTTTATCGAATAAAAAATTTACTAAAATAAAAATACATGTTATAACAATAATATCGACAATACAATTAATAAAATGACTAATAAGATTTCTTTTATTTTTTGCCTATTGTCTACTTCTATATTTTTTTATAATATTAATCCTTCTTTTTAGGGATTTGAATTTTCTTATTAGCAATAAGTCTTCGTAAACTCTTTTCAGCATCAGCAGCATCAATTGGAACAGGTACCTGAACATCACTAAATTTTTGTAAAATTTCATCTGTTTTAGAATTAATAAGATTTTTAATTTCTTCATTATCAATTTTAATAATTGCATCTTTAATCGCTTGGATATCAGTATCGAGTTTTAAATTTTTTAATGCATCTTGAACAGCTTTTTCAACAGTTGGTGCAATTTCACCTAATTGTTTTAATAATTCATTATAATTATCTTGTCATGTTTTAATTTCTTTATTTTTATTTTTAAGAATTTCTTCAATTCTTGCAGATAATGCGAAAATACTTTGTTTTTGTTGTAATGTATATGTTTGAACAACAGGATCAGGTTGAGGATTTGATATTTTTAATAAAAATTAATATACAAACATGTTTCTTTTATATTTAAATTCATACTAAACTTTATTTTATATTAACAATATAAATAAATTATATAAATATAATATTAATATATTTAGAAACATTAATGATTTCTATATTTATTTTAATTTCACTCATTTGTTTAATTGTTTATTTATATACTCAAGAATTTTAATAAAAAATAATTATTAAATTCTTAAAAAAAATGGTTCTATGTTTTCTTGCAGGTTTAGTTACTGGATGTGCAGCTAAATGTCTCTTTAGTACTAGACTTTACAATAAAACTAATCAATATTATAATACATCTGGTTATCATAAATCCAATGCTAATGCTTATAATACTACTTTAAAAAAACTAAAAACTCAAAATAATACTATAAAAACATCTTATAATAATATAAGAAATTTATATAACCGAACAAACACTTTATATCAAAAATTACAAAAACTTTTAACAGAAAAAGAATTAAAACTTTAAGAAGAAATAAAAAAATATAATGATGCTAAATCTAAACTTGATGAATTGTACAAAGATTTTATTAAACTTGCCAATGATAATGAAAATTTAAAACAACAATTAACAAAAGAACATGAACAATATTTAAATGAAGCTAAAGCTTATGCAATTACCAAAAATTCATTAATTGAAGCTAATAACAAACTTAATGAAAAAACTCAAGAAGCAAGAAAAAATAAAAATAACTATGAAAAAACATTTAAAGATCTTCAAACTGAAATCTTAAATAACTACAAAAATGAATTAATTTTACAAACAAAAGAAAATGAAATCAAAAAAATAACAACTCAAGCAAGAAAAGATTATGAAGATGCTAAAAATGAAATTAAAAAAACAATCGAAGAAAATGATAAATTTAAAAAAAAATATGAAAAAACATTTGAAAAACTCTTACAAGAAATATTAAACAACTATATAAACAAGTTAACTATTAAAAACAATAATGAACAAATTAATGAACTAAAAGTTAAATCTAAAGAAACAAATGATAAATTAAATGAAATGACTAAAAGAAAAAATGAATATGCTAGAAAATATCAAGAAATGATAAAAAAGCTTAATGATATAAATATAGAACATCAAAAAACTAAAAAAAAATTAAAATCTGAAAAACTTCATCATGAAGAAACAAAAAACCTTTACAAAACTGAAAAAGAAAGAGAAGCACATGAAAAAACCAAAAAAATTGCTCAAGAAGAAAAAGAAAATCTATTGAAACAAATAAATGAATTAATCGAAAAAAATAAAAAACTGGAAACTCAATTTAAAGATGAAGAAAAAAAGAACAATGAATTAGAAAAAATCATTAAAACCCTTGAAGATAAAAATAATAAAAAAATTGGTGAGTTAAATGATTTATTAAAGAAAAAAAATGATGAAATAAAAACACTAAAAAATGATCAAAAGATATTAAAAATAAAATATGATCAAGCACGTAAAAATACTAACAAAATAAAAAATGATTTAAAAGATTTACAAGATTTAATTGAAGAAAGTAAATCTTTAAAAACTGATCATGATAAACTTTTAACTAACTATAATTCTTTAAAAAAAGAAAAAGAAAAAATCGATAAAGAAAATAAACTTTTAAAAGTTCAAAATTCTGATAATGAAAAAAAATAAATAATATTAACTTCAATATTACAGAACTTATTAATCTTATTAGATCAATGCCACCAAATCTTTTATATGAAATTAATATTCATATAGATAAATTAAAACCAGAAATTATTAATACTGCAGATGCAGCTTTTACTTTAGAAAAATTAGTTGAAACATATAGTTAAATTTATTTTATTATTATTTTTATTATTTATTATTATTATATTATATATATATATTTAAAAATTAAATTCAAATAAATTAAACATATTTTTTATCTCAATTTCATTAATATCTTCTATCTGTAAATCAGCATTAATCAAAACATCTGTTACAATATCTAAAAATTTTTTCTTTTCTTCTTCTGTTTAATAAATAAGCATCATATTTGATAAACTTTGTTGAATAAGATCAATATCTTTTTGTGATATTTCAAAAATATTTTCTAATAATTTTTTATATACATTAATAATAACTTTAATACTAGCTATTCCATCTATTTTTTCTTCAGGAAACATAAATGGATTATCAAAAAAAAGCTCTGATGCTTTAACAAATATCATTAGATGTTTTCTTAATTTTCTAAATTCATTATGTTTCTTTAATCTATTTTTTGATATCATTGCTTTCTTTCTAGATTCTTCATATAAATAATTATTTAATAATACAATTAATTTTTTCATTATATCAATCTTTGTTTTTTTAAAATTTTTTTTAAAAAGAAATGAATCATCTTTTCCTAATATCCATTTATAATATAATACATTTAATAAAGATCATTTATCTTTTGTAGTATCATATATTTTCTTAATAATATCAGAAATAGGTTTATTTTTTATATTCGGAAAAAATTTTCTTTTATCATCGACATTTAAAGTTTTTTTATATTGATTAATTATATCTTGTATTTGTCTTTCTACTGTTTCTGCTAAATTACGTTCTTGATCTGCTTTATTAGGATTTGTTGTCAGATTATTATTTTCAACTTCTTCAATAGGATGTTTTGCTTGTGGTTGTTTAGTTGGTTGTTATAATTCTTGAATTTTTGTATTTAATAATTCTTGAAGTATTAATTTACTTCGATCATTTGTTAAATATTCTTGTTCTAATTTATCAATTACTTCTAACCAAGTATTTTTTAATTTTTCAACATCTTTTTCATTTTCAATTGCTGATTTTAAAATATCATATAATCCATCATTATAATATTGTCTTCGTATATTTTCTAATATAATTAAATTTCGATTCTCAGTTAATAATGTTTGATTTAATACCTTTATATCTTGTGAAATTTCTGAATTACTTGATATTTCATTTATATTTTCACTATTTTTAATTAAATCTAATATTAAATCATATGATTGATTTTCATTTTCACTATATAGAAAATCCAATCGTGATCATCTTGTTCTATCTAATATTTCTCGTGATTTTTCACTATCTAAATATTCTTCTCTAACTTCATTTATTCGATTAATATAATAATTATTATCTGATAATCTATCAATATCTTTTGATTGTTGAATTTCAATTAATAAAGAATCATAATTTTTATTAATCAATAAAGCTAAGTGTTGTTTTCTTAAATCTTGTAATATTTTTTTTTGATCTTCATTTAATGATGCATTTAATTGAATCATTTTGTCATGATGTCTTTCATCTAATAAATTACCAAGAAAACTTTCATTTTCTATTTCTTGTTGCATTCTTATCATTTCTGTATTTCCACGTAAATTTCTTATTTTTTCATTATGTTTATTATGTAATTCTTGTTTTTGTTGATTAGTAAGATCTTTATCATTATCAATTTCTTCCTGCATATCAACTTGCAATTTAACAACATTAGTTTCTTTATCAATTTTTTCTTGAATATTTTGAATTATTTCTTGTTGAGTATTTCTCTGAAATTTTTCATTTACTAAATCAAATAAAATTACTTTTTGTTCTGCTGTTAATCTTTCTTCATTTCTAATTGTTAATTGAATTTCTCGTAATTGTGATAAAACTTCTGTTTGATTAATTTCTTTTTTATAATATTGCAAAAGATCTTGTTGTAATTTATTTAATTTTACTTTTCTATTTTGTTGTAATAAATTTTTTTCATAAAATGTTATATCAGATTGTTTAATCAAATTAACTAAAACTTGATTTTTATTTAAATTATCAATATTTTCTGTTTCATTTATCATTTCATTAATTCTATTATTTAACTCTTGTTTACATTCATCTTGAAGATTTATTTTTTTATCATATGTTAATAGAGAACTTGTAATTCATTATATATTTGTTTATTTAAAAATAAATCTTCTAAATTTGAATCTTTGATTGCTTTTTTTAAATTTTCAATCAGGATAGTATTATTTGAAATTTGCTGTTCTTCATGTTCTTTAGGAATTTGTTGTTCTTCTTTTTTAGGTATTTGTTCATAGTTATCTTTAGGTAATTGTTGTTCATTATTATTTGAATCATTATTTTCTTTTGATAAATTTTCATTATCATTAGATTCTTGTTTTTCTTTATTCAAAAATAATTTATTAATAAAAATATTTTTAAATTCCTGTTCATTAATAAGAGTTTTTCTTGATCCATATAATGCAATATATAAATATTCTTGAAAATTAGATTGATTTATTTTCTTATCATCTTTTTTATGTATTTTTACAGCATAACATTTTTCAAAAAGTTTATAATTATAATAACATTTACACAAAGACATTTTTAAATTTTCATTTTAAATTCAATAAACAAGTATTTACATAATTTATTTTGTATAATAAATAAAATAAAATAAAACAGATAATAATAATATAATTTAAAATAAAATAATAAATAACTAATATAAACTAAAATTATAAATCTTCCTCATCTGGTTCTTCATCTTTAACTTTAGCATCAATCAATTCTTTTACTGCATCAGTAATTTCAGTTTTAAGATGTTGTATCATCATTTGCATTGATGAATAATTTTGATAATCTAAAGTATATGCTATTTCGATAAATCCATTAGTGAAAAATACTGGATAACCAGTTCCACCATCTCCAGGATTTACACCTAATTTAAGTTTATCATTATATGGCATATCTTTATTTCTTATATTTAATTGATATAAATGATCTATATAATCTATAATAATTATTAAACGACAATTTGCTGTATTATAGATTATATTTTCATTTGTTTCTTTTGAAAAAATACAAACTTTTTCCTCATCTTTAGCAAATCTTCAACACATTGTTATTATATGATTATTAAAAGTACATTCATTATTACATGGTATTACAACACTATAATCTACTATTGGTATAACTGTATTTTTGAATTTGTGATAAATTAAATCTGAAGGATCAACCAATACATCTTCAATTGTAAGATCTTTTTTTTTTGCTAATTGTTCTTCACAAATTTGTACTAAATAAAGATTAATTTTAAAAGGTGAGAATAATGGTGTTAATTGAGTTTCAGTTCCAGGAATATTCAATTGTATATTAGTTTTTGGTGTAAATGAAACTAATTTAAATTGTGCCATGAAATCTAATAATCGAAGTGAAGTAAATGTTTTATTTTCTTCCTGTAATAATAAAAATACATAAAAACATGTATCTACAGGTAAAAATGTTTTATTGACAAATTCTATTTTATCACTTAAATATTCAAATAGTCTTGATGTTTGACAAATTGTAAATTCTTTTTCATCTCCACATGAACCAAGTGAACATTTATTTATTTTTCGAATCTTTGAACTATTTGTTGTTAAATTATTTTCATTAAGTCTTCTTTTTTTTGATATTATTAATGTAGTTGAAGCCATTAAATAACTTGATAATGTCTGTATCTTCTATAATTAGAACAACTACTAACTTTTTGCTTTGGTAATAAACTAATTAATATAGGTAATTTTTGTCTTTTTATTTGATTTTTTTTTCTATTTTTGTTAATTTTTTATTTTTAACAACACCTGTTTCTTTTGTTTTAGTTTTAGTAGATTTTGGTTTTGCTTTCGCTTTTGTTTTAGACTTTTTAGCAGCCAGTTTGATTAAATTTTATCAATAAATTTTATTATTTCTTGTAATGCTTGTTGTGTATAAAGTATAATTATTTTTATAATATTAATAAATTCAGATTTATAAATATAATATATTAATGTTAATTGAATTATTATCATAAAAAATAAAAATATACTAGCTAAAATAAATGTTAACTTCCATAAAAAAGCAGCTTCCATTTAGGGAAAGAAAAATGTAAAATAAGACTATTTATATTTTTTTTAAATATCTAAACATTCTGTATTAATACAATAAGTTATTAAATTTTGATTTTTTCTTTGTGTTTTTCTTTTTAATACTTGTGATTGTAATTGTTTAGGTTTATGAACTGGTTCATATATTGGAGTAGAACTTTGACTATTAAATTTTTGAATATAAATTCCTCCAGGATAAAGTTTAGTTAAATCACCATTTTTCTTTAAAATAACTTCATATTTATCCGTTTTTTGATTCCAAGTATACAATTTTGGTAAAACAACAATTTGAGGTTGAATTATTTCTCTTGATCATTTAGTTCTTGTTTCAAATATACTTGTAAAAATTAATAAAAATAATAAAATAAAAAATTTATTCATTTTTAAAAATAAATTTAATTCTTGATATATATTTATATCTTTTAATTTACTCTTGGATGTTGTTTTGGTCTTTCTTCATTATTACTACTATCATCATTTCTTTGACATCTATTACCAACTATAGATTCTGGAATATTATTTAACAAATCAATATCAGTTCCTGGTTGTATATTAGCATTAATCCAATCAGCAAATAAAATTGCTAAATAATGAGCGGTATTAGTTTGATATTTAAGAAACTCATCATCTTGAAAATTTTTTTCTATATATTGATTCCATGTAAGATATAATTTTTTAGCTTCTGATATTTCTTTAACATTTAAAAATGCTTCATACATTAAATTAAAAATTTGTTTTATAGTATTAAGTGTTCTAACTATCATATCTCTGTTATAATTTATTGGTATTATGTTTGGATTATATCTAACATCTTCTATGTATTGAGTATAATATAATTGTGGATCATTTGGTAATTGTTCTAGCATTTTCTTATATTGTAAAGTTTGTCGATATAAATGAGTCATTTGTTTATAATTTGCTGGTAATGTATTCCAATTTATATTATAATTATGATCTGGTAAATTTAACTCTATAGCTAAATCCCATTCTCTACCATTAGTAAAAGAATCTATAGTTTGATCTTCTTGCATATCTTTTAATAAATCTAACCAAGCTAAATAAGAATTATATTGTATTGTATCTGCTAAATCTAAATTTTCAGATTGAACCTTACTAGTAATCACATCTTCCATTTCACTTACTATTTCAATTTCAGGAAATATTATATTTGTAAATGGAATATTTGGTTATTGTGGTTGTGGTTGTGGTTGTTTTGGTTGTTGTGGTTGTTGTTATTTTGGTTGTTGTAGTTGTTGTAATGGTTTATTATTTGAAATTTTTTGAGAAAGTGTACTAATTCCTTCATTTATTGCATTAATTATTCTAAATAACATCATTTGATATAAATCTATATCACTTGATTTTTCATTTATATATTTATTTTCTCTTGAACAATAATTAACATATGAATCCCAATTATAACAACATCTACATATTTCTTTAGAATAAACATTTAATGTAAAAATTAAAACTAACAAAAATTTAAACTTCATTTTGTTTATTGCAAAATAAATTAAATATACTCATATTTATATTTTTTATAAATATAAAGATTTTTATTTTTACAAATAATAATTACAAAAAAATGAGAAAATCTAAAATATCAATTTTTTTAAAAATTTTAGAAATAAAAGAAACTGCTACTAAAGCTGAAATCAGAAAAGCTTATTATAAACAAAGTTTAAAATATCATCCTGATAAAAATCCTAACAATATTATTGAAGCAACTAAAAAATTTTAAGAAATAAATGAAGCATATGAAAAATTACTAGAATTTATCAAAAAACGACCAAAAAAACCTAAAAAGAAAACTAATACAACTTGTAAACCTAGAACAAAAAAACAAAAGAAAACATCCAAACCTCAATCAAAAAAACCAAAAACAAAAAAACAAAAAAAATCCAATAATAATAATGAATTTATTAAACATTTTTTTAAATTTATGAATAATTATATGAATAATAAATAATTTATTTATGTCGATCTCCACACAAAATTGTTTACAAATCGAATTGTGTTTTCTTTTGGAAATTTGTTAAAACATTCTTCATATAAATTATGATAATGATTAATCTGATAATTATAATAAATATCTATAACACTATCTCTAAAATATAAATTACATAAAGGAATATTACATTCACTAAATACTGGCATCTAACCACATTTTTTATAAAAATTACATTTATCACATCATCTTGTTCCAACTTCCCATTTACATACTGCTATTAATTTTTCTCCTTTATTATAAGGTGAAACACAATAAAAATTTCCTTTTCTATCTCTATTAAAGGTTTACGAATACTTTTACTAGTACATATACATTTAACTTCATCTATTATACAGTGTTTATATCGTTTCTTGAAATCACACCATCCACATCTTTTCTTTATAACACATCTGTCACATGGTAATTGATCATCAGAAAATTCTACATATGATCATTTTCCTTTTTTAGTTTTTGGTAAATATATTTTTGTTGCTGTTAACTCTTGTGAATAAATACTATAATTGACTGAATGTTGTACCCATACATCACATTTAACTTGAGGAAAAATATATTCATCAAATTTTCTTTTATAAAATTTACATGTTAATGCAAAATATAACATTGATTTATTATCTAATAAATCAAAAATAAAAAATATCATTTTAGTTGGAAGTTTATTCATTTTTAATTTACTCTACAAACTTAAAAATAAAGTGTTTTTATAATTTTTAAAGTTACACGAAATTATTTAAATTCTATTTGATATCCATTTCGATTATTAGTTTTTTTATCATGTTCTAACTTAAAATTGATTGCTAATTGTTTTGCTTCTTCACTAGTTCTATCTTTATTTATATAAAACTATTTTGTTTTATGTTTATTATTTTTATACCAATAAAATTTCTAAGCTTTTTTATAGATATGAAATGAAATTCCATTATAACCAGATGTATTGTTTTTTTGTAATTTACGATTTAAATTATTTAAATGTGGAGTTGTTTCTCTAAGATTACATTTATGATTATTTGTTCCAATTCTATTAATATGATCAATTATTTTGTATTCTGGATAAATCATTTAATGGATTTTTTTGCTTTTATTTTTAATTCATACTTGAATATAAAATGTATTGTTATTTTTTTTTTTATAACAATACCAAGTATAATTTTGTAAAAGGTTAAAGTTATCGAGATCACATAAGAATGTAATTTCTTTTGATTGTGTTTTGACTTCAAGACATAATTTGAAATCAATTTTTACAAGATGATATTCATTCAATTTTAATCTTGGTTTATCAGAATTTGCATACTTTTCCCAATCAGTAATAACTTCGAAATTTTTAAATTTATTTAACCAAAATAATTTCATTATTATTAAAAATTTTCTTTATTTTTTTTTTAATTTTTAATAAAATTAAAAATTATGGGATTACAAATTATAATATTTATATTTATATTCACTTATAATAAAATTAATTAATTAAATATATTCTATTGTTGTATTACGGAAATTGTCAACTCTAAAACTCCCTATTCATAGGGTAGACGAACGTCTCTCGCGTAACATCGAACGAATTAGTACTTAAAAGAGGCATGGGATTTGGGTGAGTACTAAGGGTAAGTGTATCTATATTTACTATACTGCGAGACCTGCGAGACTTGTTTTTCTTACATTACCAACACATTACTTATATACTTTTTTCTATACACTAATTACACTAATTATGCTATCTATGCTAATTACACTAATTACGCTATTTATGCTAATTACACTAATTACACTAAATACGCTATATTCGCTATATCTATTGATTACACTAATTGCACTAAATCTACTAATTACGCTAATTACGCTGCATCTGCTAATTATGCTCTGTATATGTGCTATATCTAATAATTACTGTATATTAATATTTGCTTATGTGATCTAATTTAAATGAAATATCAACGATTCTTTTTTAGATCATGACAATATAATGTTAAAGTGACAGATAAGCTAAATTTTTAATTTTAAAAAATTATGTTATGCATCTATTTTAGAATTAGATATTAAGCAATCTAATTATAATAACTATAACTTATTACAAGTAATAGAAGATTCATTATTTTTATAAGAATTACTTAACTTTATTGATTTTAACTTATCAATACACAAATATTTTTTATTTAATAAATTCTTCAAATGTTAAATTTATTATATTATTATTTATCAGCAACAGATTAAAAGTTTATTTCACAAGTATAATCTTAAGTGTTATACAAATATTACGATTGAAACTAAAAAAACCAAACTATGTCTTTAGATGTTAAACAAATAATTCTATTTAGTGAAGATTTGACAACTCAAAGGAAAATAAATAAATTTATAAATATGATAATAAAGAACAGACAATGTTTGAAAAAATTGAAACTAATAAACTGTTTAATAAATTGTTTGATAAATAAAAAAATAATTTGTTTGATAAATTAAGTAAATAATTTATAAAAAATAAATTTTCCAAAATTTCTAAAATTGTTGAAAAAATCTATAAAAAATTCTTTCATAGTAAATTTTATATGTACACTACTTATAGTTTGATTTTATTAGTTTGATGATCACCCTAATATTACATGAAACTGATGTACGAAATCATTTCTCAGTATTTTTATTCTTATTAAGATCAGCAAAATTCCGATAGGTTAAAATTTACCAAATTATGAATACTATAAAGAGTATTTAATTTATCGCATTAGCTACCCCTGATCGCCAATTAGAATGCGATATCAGGTGTAACGTGAAATCGAAGCAAAACATTGTCTTTTTTGAATAATCGTCTGTAACTCAAGATTTTGCATATGAAACCACCTCTTACGATCTAATTAAAAAAATTCCTTGCAAAATTTTAGATCATAAGCTCTTTCCCTAAAGCCATATCTAACTCTAGTCTAATGCTAACCCTAACCTTAAACTAATGCATTTTTTATGTCATAAGAACATCCTAAACAATTGATAATGTAGAAACCTTACTTTTTTATTTGAATTACAATTTTATTAAAATAAATTTTATCTTGTTTCACTATTCCTTTACGTCGAGAAGATACTAAAATGGAGTATATTGCTCCGAAGTGACTCCAGTTTGACTCCAAATCAACTTGGGTTACATCGTATAGCCAAAAAATTATAAAATCCTACTATGAAATTTATTAATATTATTGTATTCTTATGATATGAATATTCGAATAAATTTAAATCGGACTTTTAATCATCAGACAACTATACAATAACTATAAATTAACGTTAAACCCGACCAAATTTAAAGATGAATTATAATAACATATACAGTAATACGTCAATATTTGCCTTGAACGTACAAATATGCAGTATAGGCCAATTTTACATCTTTAAATTTTTAAACAAAAACTTCAATGTTATGAAAATTTACCAAATACCAAAGAGTAATAACAAATAAAAGCAGTAAAACGAACTTAGTCAACTTAATGTCAACTAGTTTCTGAAACATCACAATCGCAACAGTCACCACCTCCACAACCACTACCTTTTCCATTAACACGTTTTAAGAGGTCACCAGATTTACCAGGGCCATTTTCACGTTTCAAGAGGTTACCGGATTTACCTACAAATGAAAATGGTTGAGTATTGAGAAAGTAAGTTTTATTAATTTTATCACCCTATTCTCACTAACCGAAATATCATGAAGTTCGACCAGTGAAGGTAAAATGAATAATAAAACTGAAATAGGTTTGTTATAAAATAATTTTTATTACCTTCATAGCCAGGCGATGCCTGAACTGACAGACCGTAGATAATACAAATAATAACAAATAAACAGAAAATACGGTTCATCGTAAATGTTTGTAACAATATAGAATATATTATTTGGAGATTTGATATTTAACCTTGTTTTTTTTATCAGACCGTATATATATATGTGTTTTAAACCAAGGATAAACGTATTCAGAACTCGTGCTTTCAAACTTACACTTACTACAGATGGATGACACCGAAATGATTTCCCAACAGATCATTTAGCTGACACCACACTACGCGATAATTTACTAACAATATATTGGGACCACCCACAGCAAAAGAAGGGGATGGGCCAAAAAATTAGAAATTTTATTCTTATGCTAATTTTATTCTAATCAATCTAATTCAAGATATTGAATTTGTTTAAAAAAATTTTTTTGCCCCATCCCCTCCTTTTGCTGTGGGGGGTTTCAATATACCCAAAACTAATAACATGCTAAATTGCACGTCGCGTGATGTCGGCTAAATGTTTGTCAGTGTGCTGTAGTTGTGCGAGTGATGTAAACCCGAAAAGGGATCGAAGAACGTACGCAAATGATTATCCCAGATCAGACTAGTGATGCGCATGAAATGCACATGGGTCTTTTATGAGGTTTCGGAATATTACGGAATCTATTAAAAATTCCGGTTCATATTATTGTCTAATTATAAACAGCTTGGATAAAAAGAATGCATAATATATGTATTCGTAATTATCAGAAAAAAAGGTTTGTAAAAATAAAGTTTTTATTCATACATATTAAATATATATAATTGTGATAACAATAATACTTACCATTTGTGCATAGTAATTAGATAATCTACCAGCATTATATTGCTTTGCCGGTATTACAAGAACGACCGTTCCAAATATGGAATGATTCCGATATTCGTTTTATATCCGTTTACTATTGATATCCAGATAATTATCCGCTATCTGAGAGATTTTGAATTATCCGGCTAATCAAAAACGGATATACAGACGACGGATTATCCAGATTGGAACTCTAACACATTTCATTTTAATCCGTACTGAAATTACCAAAATGCCGATCTTACTTTTTTAGGGCCAGATTTTTTTACATAATGATTTTTCTCTCTCAAGCACTCAAATGTGAGAAGGAAGGATGGATTCAGCTTTTCTATATTACGCAGATCAGTATTGTATAACTCATACAGGGGGATCCCCAAAATTCCGGGTCGAAACCATCGGATTTAGCCCGGCATTTAGTAATACAAGTTAATCATTTCTAAGCCAAAATTATCAGCTGGGCAGCTTTACTTAATGAGTGAGCTATGGTTTCATTAGTAAAACTTTTAGTGATCTTGG